CATATCTAAAGTATGTTACTTCGCTAAGATTCTAAAAAAATACTTAATTATATGCAAGGCAAATAAGTTAAAATTCCGAGTGAGGGAGAATCTATAGATGCGGTCTGCTGAAATCCAGTTCGGATATCGAACAGAAACGCCAAGATAACATCCAGCGACATTTCGCTAACTCACATGCCAAGGCCAACTGTTTGATGGAGCCACCGTCTTTTTCCTTTCATAACTTCCCTCTGGCGTCTGCCTTCTCGGGCGTTTTCCGCACCGCTCTGGCAGCCCATTAATTAGAATCTCCTCCTTCCCTGCTATTTAAAAAATGTGAATAAAGGCCTTTAATAAATTTCATTTGATTTAAGTGCGTTAGTATGTATTTAAAAATGGAAGAGCATTGCAACAAATATTTTAACCAAACGCACATTCGCAAGACGCTTGAGGTGAAGGTAGAAAACATAAGTCAGTACCTAATGCGACAGTCCAAAGAAAGATTTTAGCGAGAATGCTTGCTGAAAGACACATTTGAAAAGGCTAACAATTTTTTTTCCAACTCTGAGAATGCAGTTAAACCTGGCGAAGGCGTTGTTGAGCAGAATATTATTTAGTCAGCAGACTTATGTAGGAGAGGTTTGTCAATCCGAAAACGAACCAATGGGGTAAAAGTAGAAACAAAATAGTCATTGCCAATCAAAACGGAATAAATATAATTCAGTGAGAAGTCAATGTGACTTTACTGTGTTCAATAATAAGACTTATTGGAAAAATGAAGTATTGAGTTTGTGCAAATGCCGGATATCGTAGCCCCAGGGGCATATTTGCTCTTATTTAGAATGAGAAGAATATGTTGTTAAAAGATTGTGAAGCCGCGTGTAAGGGTTTGCCATTTTTTTAAAAAATCGGCTATTTATGAGAGTTTTACCAAAGAAAATATGCCCTTTCTTGTACATAAACATTTGAAAAAGGCATAATTTTCTACCAAACGTGTACGAGGAAAAATGTTTTTGTATGAGTTTTCCTATAAAATGTTGTTGAATTCCTTAAGGCCGTTTTTGAATACACTACTGTTTGCAGGCTGTCATAAAGGGAATACAGTATCTTTATCTTGCGTTGTTCGTTTATCAATATAACATTCCTACTTAAATAATTTGCTTAAATTGAAAACATAGTTCAATATTTCGCTTGGCGTACACGAAGTTCGGAAATCTACTACAACCTAACATAAGCATGCTAAAAATGCCTTTTGCGGAATGAAGGTTCCCAGTTATATCTTTAATTATCTGGGGGTAATTCGTATATATTCGTATGTACGAAGGCACTTATGTAAAGGGTACCCTATCCGAGGTCACAAATCAAGAACAGTTATCAGTAAAAAATGCTTTAAAATGTGTATTTTACACGAAAGGCGAAATCATCGGCGGACGCAAGCAACCTTGCTAACTATTCACTGAACACAGATGCGAAAAATGTGCGGCCTCGATTGGCGTCAAACCGACAAAGCAGGGAATGCTTTTACACACTTATCGCAGATCCTTCTAACTATCTACTTATTAAAGCTAAACGTCAATTATGTTATGAATGCGGTTTCTGCATTCTGTGAAGCATCGTGCCCACTTTCTTCTTATTTCTCCCCTGTGCACATACAGATAAATAGTAGCGCACATGCTACTATACACAGATACAAAATATCCCAATAATAAGTACAAATATATAATAATAATCGGGAAAATTCTATTTGTAGGTAGTAAGTCAGAAGGGAAGGGGACGTTCACTGGGAAAGGTGTGTGCGTTTTTTATCTGAGTTTTCGGATGGTCCACTCATCTATCCATTATCAGAGAAGGAATACTCTGGCTCTTGGCTCTCGTTGTATGTCGCTCCTTTATTCCGCCTGAGTAGTCTGCCAATCAAGTTTGAGCCGCCCTGTGTGACTCGCCCCTCTAGGTGGTAACCGTAGGCTGTCTTAACAGCCTGGTAACAGTCACTCGTACCCTGCTAGCCGCCGATAGTGTCTGCAGCTGGGCCGTCGGTGTGCATTTGGTCTCCCCACGCGCGCTGGCCATCTGGGTCGCGTCGCCCCTAACCTCCTCATTATGGCTACGTCGGATGACCGCATTAATGGTTGACGGTCTCGGTGGTTTTCCGCGCAGTTACTGCCCCCTGATAAGAATCTTCTGAATACAACATAGGGGGCAGGCAAATTTGTGGCGTTTAACCGAATAGTTGGTCAACATCCAACTCATGTTGGGCCCTTATTCGCACCTGGCGTTTCCGAAGTTTATTCTCGTACTCTTTGGACAGGCACCTCTTGAGTACTTGAAGTGTCACCTCGGCAATGCGCTCAGAAATAGTGGACTCCATTAAGGTGCTTCGCTTTTTTAATATGTGGTCTGTTCGAAGGTAAAGAAACTCTTGAGTCCATGCCCCGTGAGTTCTATGAGGTCCCGAGTTGTAGCTGACCTTCTACCTCCTCGTAGTTCTGTCGCAGAAGGTCCCGGATAGTTTCGACAGCAAGGGGCTGTGGTATGGACTGCGTTATGACATCAAATGACACCATCCTTTCGCCTGGTTCAGATGTGACCGTCCCTATTCTATCTAGAAATTATTATGCCGAGTGAACTATGGTTTTGAGCCTGCCATAAGTAACTTCAGCTTCCTGAATAGTCAGTTTGTCAGCCGATATGTAGGCGTGCTTCGGAGAGAGACGACTGGCCGTAGGAGGCCGTCTGGTTTGTGTACTTTTGGGAGGCCGAAGAGCAATGCTATGGCTGCTTCGGTGGACATTGTCATCTACCAGTCCTTGATGATGATCACCTCTGCTTTCTATAGTTGACCCAGCGTTTTACCGAAATTGATCAGTGGTGGCCTTAGGCGGGCGGCGTTGCTGACTCTGTAAGACTCGATCATTGAGGAGCGTTCGAATTATTTTTCCATAGTCAACGTTTTCAAGCACAATCGTTGATAGGCTTTTGTCGGCAGGGCTAGTGACTTTCAACTCCCTTAGGGTCTTTTGCTCTCATCCTAGAAGCGAATGGGCTTTTTGGCGTGACAGGACTAGACACAGGTGACCTGGGGTCGGAGAATGTCTCTCGTTTTGTCTGTGACGCCCGTTTTCCCTAATGCTGACTCGAAGGAGGCAACTTGGGCGACACCCACATTTTCATCAACCAGAGCGGAATCAACCACTACAAAGAGTGACTGAACTCGATTATCCCGATCTACGGTTCACGATGGAGGACAGAATTCCGTTCGCGGACGTTCTCATCTTCCGCCAACGGGACGGCAAAATGACAACGTATGTCTACCTTAAAACGACTAGCAGTTAGCAAATATTGAGCTACAATAGCAAGCACCCGCTGTAACACGAGCGAAGTTGTATACCTACGCTTAACCAAAGGATAGAAATCCACTGCCGCACGCCAGACACCAAGTAAGCCCAGGTAGAGCGCCTTTCGGGAGTTATTCAGAGCTAACGGCTATCCACCAGCGTGCACTGAATGAAATCGTATGCCACTGAAAACGTGGACCAAGGAGCGTTGCCCACAAAAGGGGTCTCTGAAACGGTTGCTAGATCCCTCGCAACTCTCAGAATAGGAGTAGCCCACAGGTCTGCCGCCATAATCCGGATTCAAGTAATGCAGCCGAAAGAGCCTATCCCGAAAAAAGAACAATCAGGCGTTGTCTACCGACTTCAGTACTCTTGCCGGATGTGCAACAACGTTGTAGAAACTGTCCGGCAGCAGCAAACGCGAACGCATGAGCATGAGAAGGCTGGAGCCAAAGTCGGAGGTAGCAGCCCATACTGCAGAGATGGAGCACGTCTTGAAGTTTGACGTCGTCGAAAATGTGCGCTGAGATGACGATCACAATATCAAGGTAGGTTAAATAAGCCTAGAGGTCCACCAACTGTTCGTTAAACCGCCAGATACATTTGCCTGGCTACCATGTTGTATTAAGAAGATTCTGATTAGTGGACAGTAACGGTGCGGAGCAATCGGGACAGTCAACCAGCGATACGGTCAACATACCTATCCATAAGACAAGCTTCGACGCGAGGGGTGCGAGGCGACTCATATGACCAGCGCGCGGGTACACTAAATAAAGACGAAAGTCCGTGTCGAAAGAAGAGATCGTCGACTACATAAGGTTCCTCAAGTCAAGAAGTCAGTAAGACCAAATAGGTAGGACAGTGTACTGTGAAAGGGAACTAACAAAGGCCCCTGTAGAAATAAGCTGCGCACAGTGAATAAGCCTGTTTACGTGTGTCTGGTGTGTGCGTCCGCGCAGAGGTTACGGTATCTGGGGGCACCCGCCAGCCAATCAGCAGAAGGTGCATAGCTCGCGAGTGAAAAGACAAAATATCACAACGACCTTGAGATATCATGCGACAGGCACGCCTGCATTGTTTGCGCGCAAAGGCCTGATGAGCCACACTGGACGAGAGCCACACAGTGTGTCCCAAATCGGATTGATCGACCACGCACGCGGAAGAAAGGCGTAGCATATAGCGAGAATCAGAAGTCCGAGTATTCATTTTCTGAAGATGGATAGACGAGACGACTTGCCAAAAGGTCAGATAAAAAAATAACCCTTTCACGGTAAACGCCCTTACTCCTGACAAGAATATATAGTAGACTGTTCATCTGGTTAAATATGATAATCAAATTTTAGTGGCGGATTTAACACACGTGCGATGTTGTTTATTTTGTTCGTTGGTTTGACTTTAGACGCAAAATGCTGTTTACTAGAAATGGCTTCCGTACAGATTCATATACTTGGGGAGAAAAAGGGCGAAAACGGGTAAAAGTCAGCGCTTGCTGTTATCCGAGGAATTTCCTACGCTATTAAACGCTGCGGATAGAGGCTTCTTGTTAGTGGATGTTGTAGTATAAAACATATACCGTGCTTATCATCCGCGGAAACGGAAGATGAAGAGGGGGCAGGTGCTGAGAACAAATTTTATTTGTGCTGACGTTTCAAAAACTCACTCGTTTACATCGTCAGAGTACCGTGCTTACTCTTCCGTGGACCTTGAGTGAAATCGTCTCGCCACCCATCTTGAGAAGTACCCTTGCTCCCTGCATGTGCATTCGCTACTGGTTGGCTCCGACGTGTTTGCTGCCGACCAATGGCGGGTCCGCGTCTCCTTTCTGCCCTGCACCACTATCGTGAATGCCGCGGCGCCGTCCTCCTTTCCGCCGGGTGGTCGATCGATCGGCCGTTGGTTTTTGCTCGCAGCCCTGCCGGCTTCACGTTCGGGTGCGTGAGAAAGCACGCCGTGCCGGTCGGATAATTCTCTGTCGCCGCCGCCTTCCTCCCCCGTGGGTGTTATTTGTTGGCACTGCGTGGTTTGGTCGTCTGTCCTTCTCTCGTCAGGCCGTGGATCGTCTACTTCCCTGGCGGCTGCAGGTTGTCGGCTTTCTGTGTCGCCACTCTCCCGCCTTACCATACGGATTTGCCGTCAAAGTTCAACGCAGTCAACTTGCCACCCTTACACATAGTCGAGATGACCAATCTCCTACCAACCTGCTCATGCGATTCACAAACGTCCCTTCAATCTGGATCATCTATGCCAGCAAAAGCCGTCCACGCTGTTCGCAACTCTACCGTTGGTACGGTACCGTTGGTCTAGAAAGGGGGCACTTGTAGTGGTCGTTATTGCCCAACGCCTACCTAACTCTTGACGGTACAGACAAGGTCACTCAAAGCAGGCGCTTGCGCGAATGTACTTTTTGGCCT